GGCCTGGATCCCACTGGGGCAGTTAGAAATTGAAAACCATTGGAGTGTGCTTTGGGTTAGCAGAGGTGACCTTGAAAACACAGGCAGGCACCTGGGAACTGTAATCTGCAGACTTGAGGCTCTGACGGGAAAATAGAACCCCTGAGCCTATCACTAGTCTGTTTAAGCTGGAGACCTGATGGGTCTTTCCCTCCAAGGGCAAAAATTAGGAAACAACTTGACTGCCAAGAGCAGCTGAGAAAAGGAGTAATGCATGGAATTTTGCTTTAAGTGAGCCAAGACAGGGAATGAAGATCGGAAAAAAGGCAAGGAAGGCAGTCTATGATTGGCAGAGAAGGGCCAGCAGCAGCCAGCAATGCCCACCTGGCATTATCTATGAACAGTAAAGACAGGCACTTTTCCTGGCCCTTACTTATTAACTCTCTGGGGAAGGCATGTGTGAAAGGCAGGCCTACCAAGAGCAGACAGGCAGCAAAGCCCGCCACATCTGACACATGCCCTCTGTACCCCTTAGCAAAGGAGAAGATTTGAGGCTTAGGGGTTTTACTTACTGTAATCCCAAGAAATAAAGAAGGTGCCTAATTGATCCTACAGACTTCTCAACCCTGGGTGCCCATTAAAATGGCCTGGGAAGCCTTTATAAAATTACAGGTACTTGACTTCACCCCAGACCAATTAATCAATCTCCGCAACAGTTTTTTGGGGTATGGGGGACGTTTTTTGTCTTTAAAGTTCTCCAGGTAATTCTACTGTACAGTTAAGGTTAAATTAAGAAAATCTCTGTCTTAAACTAATCAAGCCTATTATCAAACTAATCAAGCCAAGAATCAAACTAATCAAGAGAATTCCAAGTTGACCAGATACGGCTTCTCTAACAGGCATGTGGACAGAGGCTGCTCTAACAGCAGCTTCAGGCCCTTCCCACTGTGGCCCAGAAGACCAGGTTTACTGCTGCGTCCCCACAGGGCACTGAACAAGTACTTCAAACACTTGGTTTAATATGGTTTTCCCAGGAGACATCTATAGTTTTCCCAGGACCAGGAGCCAAGTCAGGCGTGGGGAGGAACGTTGCAATCACAGAACTGCCTGCCTACTTCCAGGACCAGGACCCAGCATTCGCTGGCCCTCCAAGGCAGGGGAAGGGCTCGTGGACATTCACACAAGGTAGGTGTGATCATTTAAAGAAAATAAGGTGTTTTTCACACTTCCTCTATTTCTTGTGAATCTCTTCCTTACAAACTGCAGTCTCACTGTTTCTTGAGGCTGGGTAGAGACTAGCTAAAAGATATTTTGAGCAAAAGGCCAGTCTAGCTGATAAGTTCTGTTCAGTATTATCAGTAGCAATTACGTTACATTGCTGAGAACTAGGGGAAAGGAAATACTTTATGTGATTTGAGAATACATTTTTTTTATAGATTAGAGCTGAGACTTAAGACTGCCTCCCTTCTCCATAACCACCTTCCCCCTGCCCACAGCCCAACTTCCCCACTGATTGGTTCTTACAAGGAAGGAAGACACAGCTCTTTGGAAATTAATACCAATGGTATAATATCAATACATTCCCAACATCCCATAGCCACATTAGTGCCGAAGTGCTGCACTGAATTACTGGTCAACATGGCCAGACTGTTTAGAAATCATCCAATTCCAGGATGATCTAGGATCCACCTGAACGTTCTAACACAGAAGTTAGCAAACTTTTTCTGTAAAGATCCAAACAGTAAATATCTTAGGATGGGCCACACAGCCTCTGTCACTCAACCTTGCCGTTGCAGTGCGAAGGCAGCCATAGACAAAATGTAAGCATGGCTGTATCGGTATGACTGTATTCCAATAAAATTTTATTTACAAAAAAATGCAGTCTGGATTTGGTAGTTTGCTGATCCCTTTCTACCAGAACATAGCTTCCATAGATTGAATTGAGTGACATTTAATGGGTGACAAATAAAGAAGGATGACATGGTAAAAGACTGATACGGATTTAATGACAAATATTCCATATTGGTTGCTGAACACCAGAATGCCGTCCAAGAAACCATCATTAAATAAAACAACCTGAAAATAAGGCAATTCTCACATATACAAGCACACACTCACACAAAACCTATTACTTTTAGGATCATTAAATTATTCACTATTTTAACAAACAGCTGTAAAATAACATTACAGTGAAGGAAAATGTGCACAAACTTCAGAGACACAGTTCAGATTGTCTATGAACACAGGTTCTTAATTTGTACTTTTTCACATATGTACAGCCTCTTGATCTTGAAGAGACCACATGGCTCAAGGGGTTAACGTCGCATCTTCTCCTTCCTACTCAGAGCTCAAGGTTTAATCTATTTAAACCGCTCCAGGTTTTGCTCAGTAAAGGGCAGCCTGAACTTGACTGAACTCCCCAGGAAACAAATGATACACTTGCCTCCACCATCATTTATGAGCTGGTGGAAGGAGTCTTCAGATTAACATTTTTAAGGATGAACCACAGTGAACAGGGTTTGCTGAAGGAATACTATTATACTAAAACTAGATACAAGAAACAACCTCCTGAATGCATTTAACCTCACTTAATGCAGATATGTTCCCTGAAGAATTGTAAGAAAAATGGAATCACATTTTTTTTTTTTTTTAAAGATTTTATTTATTCAGTTTTTCCCCCCAAAGCCCCAGTAGATAGTTGTATGTCATAGGTTCACATCCTTCTAGTTGCTGTACGTGGGACTCGGCCTCACGTTGGACGGAGAAGTGGTGCCTCGGGGCGCGCCCGGGATCCGAACCCGGGCCGCCAGCATCAGAGTGCGCGCACTTAACCGCTAAGCCACGGAGCCGGCCCTGGAATCACATTTTAAATGCACCATGCGAGTGGGGTATTGGTGGTTGGACTGTTTTCTTCTGCTAAAAGATTTGCTCAGAGAAGGGATACTTAAGTACTAGCTGACTCTCTTATCCATGGTTATAGAAAGAACAAGAGAGGTCAATGAGATCCAGAGTTCCACTGCCACTAAATTATTGTCCATTAGCTTCAATCTCCTCTCCCCATTGAACTCTTTCTCAAAAGCTGCTGATATGTAACACGTTTGATGCAGACAAGACTGTGCAATAGCATAATGGCAGCAAAAAGCCAAATAACGCATAAAGTGGATAATCAACCCATGAATAATCAAAAGTTGGATGAGATTTCATAGGCACAGACTTGAGAAAACTTAAAACAGCTGGAAGAGGTAGATGCGCATAAAAAAACCACAAAGGAATAAGATTACCTACAAATTGGCTATATTATTTTCAGGTGAGCCTTATACACTTGGTATTCAGACTACAAGAGTCAGAATAAATAATGGACACTTGCTTTGCTCATATTACTCTCGACTAAACAAAAGTACAAAAGAATTAGTGTCTTCCCAAACTATATTTTGAAAATCTATTTGATTTGTGAATAACAATGAACTGATTAAGAGGGCAAGATCAACAGGCATTATATAAGCCCAAAATTCTCAGGATTTTTTTAAAGTGTTTTTATAACAACAAAAACATGCTTTCCTACAGTCTCCAAAGAGGTTCTTTGCTAGAATACAACTAACTGATCAAGTATAAATTACCAGCATCCACAGAAAGTTTGCTAAAACTATAAAAACAAGCTTGTCGTTTTTTTTTCCTTCAAGTGTGTCCAACAGTTTGTGAGGATGCTTCCACGGAAAGTACAGGATAACAAATGGTAGAGAAGAAAACAATACTGCTTTCCACAATTCTAACTTCTAAAGGCTAACCTAAGGGAGGGATTTTCAGCATAAGTAACTGAAATCTATACAAGTCATCTAACTACAGCCCCCTACTAGAAATGGAACATATCCGGGACACTCTAATTATATGACAAAGACCAGCTTTGTCAACAAGGACATCTTTGGCCCTTCTAGACTAGCCTTAAGTTTTCCATCAAGCATAAAAATTTTCAGTGTCCTTATTTTATTATATAAGTCACGACAGATAAGTCTTCCTAGCAGCTGAGCTGGAGAGCACAAAAGGTCAGACCACACCTATCCACACCGTCACCACCTCTCTTCAGAACAGCCTGCTGCACTCCTGTCCCCAGGCCTTCCTAAGACAGGGCTCATAATACTGATCTACCCCACAAAGATGTGAGAAACAACTAATAATCATTAAAAAGCATAAAGCACTTTGCAAATATAAAAGTGCTATTTTGGCATTTATATAATCACCAGAAAACATTCATTGCTTGTGCTATTTGGCAAATTTGCATTTACACCTCTTCCTGCTTATACCTTCCTTGTGTAAGCCTTGAGCTTTCTACTGTGCCTCCCCATGTAGGAAAAAGAAATTATTACTCAGACCAGAGCCCTTACCAATACGGATGGAGGTGGGGGTTCAATTATCTCCCCTATTACTACAGAGGGGGAGGGGTACACAGATGCAAAGTGAAGGCAAATGAGACAAAGGAGCTTTGCACCCCAACATGTGAACATTTGCTTTCCTGGATTTTCACATAAGGCCAGCAAAACACTGAGCTAGCTGACTTTTGTAGCAGGTCACTGGGGCGACCTCTGACAGTCTGAGGTTCGCCTGAAACAAGCATCAAGCTGACCTGGGAAAGGGAACACCACACACAGCTGGGATTGTCCCATTTCCTTGCACTTAAAAGATCACAAGTGAGACCTGAAAGAAATACAGGGCTTGGCACACACCTGACACCAGGGGCAGGGGGCTGGTCATCCACGTAGACCACCCTGACCCAGCCTGAAGCTAGAGTGTTTTAAAGTAGCAAAGAACCAGGAGCAGGACGAGGATTTCCCAGGAGATCTGAGAAGCAGTTATGAATGAACTTCTAAACCTCAGAGGTTTAGAAATGTCCTAGAAATGAGGATGTGTCACTTTTCTGCCCAGTTTCCCCTGGATGCCTCAAAATAGCAGCTAACTGTGGCTCACAGAAAGGAAAGGATGAGTATACAAAATATCCTCTCCTATAGGATTGACAAGGTGAAGGGACAGGGCAGTGGCTTAACACCTGGCGAGACCAGGATAGAATTATTCATACCGGCCTTTTATTTCACCCTATAACCCTTAACTCCAGCCACACCCTCTCCCGATTCCCACAGGCCATCGCAGCCCAACCTACTCTATTGCCTGACATCCTGTCCCCTGCCCCACCCCCTAACGCCCCTTCCTCAAGGTCCTCAAAGTGCTTGCTCCTCCACGCTCCTCACCCCTCTGGCGTGTATTTGAGAAACTCATCACGCTCAAGCACATCTCCCAAGAGCTCCCAGCACGCTCTTCGTTGAGGAGGCAGGCAAAATATAGCACCCTAAAAGAACACCTCTTAGCCACCCCCCCAAGACCCCCTAACACCAAAAGTCTCCCCAGCCACTCTCAGATTGTCCCTCCCGCCCCTTCCCCGTTTCTATAGGGTTTGTCCCCAGACATCTACTCCCCACATGCTCCCCGGACAGAGGGCAGGCCCCCTGGGGCCCAGCCCTAGCACAGGTGCAGCTTCTGGTGCTGCGCGAGGTGCGTTTTGTAGCGGAAGCCCTTGCCACAGCCGGCGCACTTGTGCGGCTTGTTGCCGGTGTGGATGCGGCGGTGGCGGATCAGGTGCGAGCTCTGGATGAAGCTCTTGCCGCACTCGATGCACGTGTAGGGCTTCTCGCCCGTGTGCGTGCGCTGGTGCTGCGTGAGCGTGGAGAAATCGCTGAAGCGCTTCTCGCACTGGCCGCAGCGGAAGGGCTTCTCGCCCGTGTGCACGCGCAGGTGGTTCACGAGGTGCGAGTTGCGCCCGAAGCCCTTGCCGCACTCGCGGCACACGTAGGGCCGCTCGCCCGAGTGCGTGCGCTTGTGCGTGAAGAGGTGCGAGCTGACGCTGAAGGTCTCGCCGCACTCGGAGCACATGTAGGGCTTCTCGCCCGTGTGCACGCGCTGGTGCTTCACCAGGTCCGAGCGCCAGCTGAAGCGCTTGCCGCACTCGCCGCAGCCGTGCGGCTTCTCGCCCGTGTGGATGCGCTGGTGGTTGGCCAGGTGCGAGCGGCGCACGAAGCCCTTGCCGCACTCCCCGCAGGCGAAGGGCCGCAGCGCCGCCGCCCCCGCGCCGCTGGCCGCCGCGTGCGCGCGCCGGTGGCTCAGCAGGTGGGAGCTGAGGCTGAAGGCCTCGCCGCACTCGGGGCACGGGTAGGGCTTCTCGCCCGTGTGCAGGCGCCGGTGCTTGAGCAGGTCGGCGCGCCAGCTGAAGCTCTTGCCGCAGTCGGCGCACAAGTTGGGCCGCTCGCCCGTGTGGAGGCGCAGGTGGTTGGTCAGGTAGGTGTTGCGGCTGAAGCCCTTGCCGCACTCGCCGCAGCGGAAAGGCTTCTCGCGCGGGGGCCGGGCCAGCGAGGGCCCCGCCCCGAAGCCCCCCGCCACGCCCATGCCCATCATGCCCACCACCGCGCCGCACTCGCCCGCGAAGCCGAAGGGCTCCAGGCTGGCCGCGGCGGCCGCCTCCGCCAGGCAGTGAATGCGCTGGTGCTGCAGGAAGGCGGCGCCCGGGCTGAAGCTCTCCCCGCAGTCAGGGCAGATGGTGGGCGCGTCCATGATGCTGGCCATCAGGCTGTCGAGCTCTCCGAGGTCCACGGCCATGGGGTGGTGGAGCCGGCGGAAGCGGCGGTGCGCCGGCTTGTCGCCCCGATGCCGGCCGCCCAGGGAGAGGTGCCGCCTCCAGGGAAGCACGGGAGGGGGCGGCTGCGCTTCTTCCTCCTCTAGGCGGTTCTCCCCAGCACTCTCCTCCTCCTCCTCTTCAGGGGGGCTCCGGGGTATGCTGTCGGACTCTGACAGTCCTGGGAACATTGCCATCTCAGCTACAGCGGGTTGGTCATCCTCTTCCTCGCGGAGAGCTCCCTCTTCCTCACTCAGCAGCCTCTCTGCAACAGAAAAGGCGGCAGTGGAGGTGACTATACTTGGCGCTCAGACGGTAAACCCAGAGGAAGCCAGTCTCGGTAAGAGCGTGGGCCACGGAGCAATCCCTCCTCCCAGGTACTCTCAACCTCTCTCCAAGATCCCCACGATTCCAGCCTCCTCCCCACCTCGTGCTTCCAGGGAAGGTCTGAAGGACAGCATGCTCCGTGCTCCAAAACCTGGAGAAAGCTCACTCACCTGCCCCTTGGCACTCCAGTTCTTCGGGTAGCTGTCTCTGGGCCCAGCCCCACTCGCTGTACCTGAGGCTCCACTCAGCAGAGCCATCCGAAGGCCGTCTGCTTGAGATGGTCAAATTTGGGCCAGGTGGGACTCCGTGGGATCTCCGAAGACGTTTGCTCACTCTAAGAGCTACCAATGCCTTTCAAGGCCCTAGCCTCAAATGACAAGTCCACTCCAGCCAAACACAAGAAAAGACCACCTGGCCTACCCAGGCCCTGGACTATGATTGGTCAGGCTGGAACTGCTTAAGGTGGAACAACAAACCAAACACACCCCAACTTAAGGGCTTTACTATCTAACAGGGAGTTGGGGATGGGGGTGTGTAGGGGAAAAGGGTAAGCCAGCACAGGGCCTAGAGCTGGTGAGCCCAGCTTAGAGGCTGATCCAGAACACACACTCACCTGTGTGGCTGTGTATCCCGAAGCAGAGGGCACTCTAGACAGTTACTGAGATAGGAAAGACCACGTGCTTGTGTGCACTGCAGGAGAGGGCAGCAGGGAGGCCGCCACGTGTCACAGGGGAAGGAATGTTAACCTGACAGTCCTAGCCATAAGGAATTTCAGTTCATTTCTGTCCCCAAGGCATGTACAGAACAGGATAAAGTAACGAATGCCCAAAGAGAACAAAGGTGGTGGATAGAAGCCCAGCATTTACTCTCTCCAGGTCAGGAATAGCAAGAGATTTAGCAGAGGCCTTGGGCACTTTGGGTATTAGCCACACGAACCTAGGCAGGTCACTTACCGCTGAGTTTACTTATCCTCAGAGGGAGATGACGACTGTGACGGTAAATATCTGGATACTGTTTGCTCAGCGCTGCGCTAAGTCAGTCTATATGCAGCAACTCATCTAACCCTCCCAACAACCAGATAAGGCAGGTTCTCCTATTACCTATGCTCCCTCTTGTGTTGTTAGAAGTGTTCATTTATAGCAGTATTCTGTATACTGTAAAGTGCCATGCCAGTGAGTTACCCTCTTCACCCGCGTTCACCAGCACAGCCCACCTCAGACTGCATTGAAGAAAAGGATGTTCCTCGGGCTTAAGATGGTACAGAATCTGCTTAAAAGTCTCCTCTGTAGAGCTCCTTCACAAAGAATCCTGCCTCTGGTTATACCTCGAGAGGAGCTAGAAATAAATGTGAGTGGGTCAACATCCATGGAAACTCGAGCTTTCTCCTCACCTGTGCAGATGTCAGACACGAGTTCCCTCTCCTCTGAGTCCTCTCTTAGAGCTTCCTCCTGTGGGTGGGAGCCCATCTCCTGCTCTGGGTGGCCTTCTCTCTTGTCTGCGTCCTGTGGATTAGAGCTCGTTCCTCTTTCTTCTGGGTCCCCTTCTCTGTCTTCAGAGTTCTCAAAATCGGAGCCCATCCCTTTGTTTGCTGAGTCCTGGGCTTCACACATGCCCTGTTTATCTTCTTGTTCCATCCAGGAAGAACAGGACAAGGGAGGTGACCAGGGATCCCTGCTCCAGACAAAACACAGATAAAGGTCACATCAGTCTGGCCTCATCCCCTCACCATGTCTGGCTTTGATTTCCATGAAAATTAGTGGCAAAGTCCAATAAAATGTATCGAGTTCCAAGCCCCAGATGGCAAATCTCTGCCCCATCGCACATTTTAAGGTAAAATGGACAGAGCAAAGGAGGCTGGTCTGGATGGTGGAGGAACAGTGGCAATTCATTCTGAGGCCACATGCCAACTCTCACTGGCCTACAATTTGATTTGCTTCTGTGGATTATTCTATTAACGTGGATTTATAGCTGTAACAGTGGTATTCCCATTTAAGACCCTGCTAGCCTAAGGCTAACTTGTAAGCAGTAAAGAGAGGATAAACCAATTGTGCTGCCTCAAAGTTGCCTGCATTCCTGACTCTTATTAAAACTTGCCCTCCTCTAAATATATGCAATTTTTATTTGTCATTTATACCTCAGTAAAGCTGGGGAGTAGGTGTAGGAGGAGAAAGCTTGCTCTCCTCGAGCCCACAGCAATTTTGTGAGGATTTTAGCTAATTATGAGTGGGCCTCTAAGGAGCCAGAGGAAAAGTACATTCAAGACACAAGAATAACAGAAGCATCAGTAGACTAACTTCTTGTCTAAGACCGTGTCACCATCAGCAGCACCAACCTGGCTTTGTGGTGAGGATCTGCTGCTTTTCTGTTAGCAGTGAGATAATTCAAACTTTCGGAGGTCTGTTGGGCTGGGTGGAGGAGATGCAGGGACCCTCTCTATTAGAAGCCATCTCTACAGCCTTATTACATATTTTGCCTTATTACATACTTGAATTGTAGAAAGTCCTTAATAAGAACATGCCCCTGGCATAATCAGTAACCCCTCCAACCCCAGCCAACTTGTGAATTGTAGGGAGAAAATGACATCAGAACCTTTTGTAAATATCAAGTTTACATTTCAAATTTAAAGGGCCCTCTGCCAAGACTGAGCAGCTGAACCAAAAATAATTTACTTCTGCCATCCATCACTCCTACAGCTGAGCTCAAGGCAGCAAAGCAGTTTATAGGTCAAGAATCTTGGACTGAGACTTTGAAGTGTCCAGCTCTCTTTCTGCCTCCGAAGCCCCCAGCAGGACTTGCAAGAATATGCCTGAGCAAGATGCCCCTTCCTTGGCTGGGAACTTTTCCTGCCTCTGTAGAGAGGACTTCCTCGAGGCAGCCCTGGCTCTGCAGAGACTTTGGGGTGGAAAGCTGGAGTTACAGGCAGCAGCCATTCTGGCCGGGCCAGCCTTACTCTAGAGCCCAGGGCAAGTCAATTAACCTCTCATTGTTTCAGAGTCCTCATCAGTGCGAGGAGGATAATGCTCGTTAACCTTTCTCACAGGGAAGGTGTCAGAAGGAAACATTGAAAAGCACTTTGGAAAATACTGTGGAGAGGAATTGATACTGAGTATTACAAATGTGGAAGACACATACATATTATTTCTCTCCCTCTTTTTTTTTTTTTTTGTGAGGAAGATCAGCCCTGAGCTAACATCCACGCCAATCCTCCTCTTTTTTTGCTGAGGAAGACTGGCCCTGAGCTAACATCCGTGCCCATCTTCCTCCACTTTATGTGGGATGCCACCACAGCATGGCCCGACAAGTGGTGCGTCGGTGCGCGCCCGGGATCTGAACCCGGGCCGTCAACAGCAGAGCGCACGCACTTAACCGCTACGCCATGGAGCTGGCTCTTATTTCTTTTTTTAATGTGGACTATATACATTATTTCTCTTTTTAAGTCCTGATGCCATTCCAGCACACTTCAGAGACACACTAGCCTCTCTGTAATTTCAGCAGACTCACCGCCCTAGAGAGCATGTTAGATCCTTTCCCCAAGATGATGATGTACTCCCTAGAGTAGAGTGAAAAATCAACCCTGTCCCTTAAACGTCATAGAGAAATGGCTGTGTCTGAGGTTGGTTAGTCAACAGTGTCCTGGAATGCAGCTAAATTCCTTTAGACTGTATACTGTTTAAAATGCCAGGTTTCAAACACTCAGGATTAGGCTCTAGGAGAAAAATCTCATTAAAGCCATAAACCTTTTAAGAGCTCTATCCCACAAGGGATTAAAGACTTCAAATCACTTCTACCCATCTCTCTTGCCTCCTGGAGCTCAGATGTCTTAGACAAGTACATCCCTTGAGCCTGCACATATAATACACGCCGAAGGTCGAAGGTGGGAAGGTAAGGGTAGGGTTTTCAAACACATACCTATTGGTTTGCTAGTGGCTAAAAGCAGTGCAGTAGTGGGGGGACGTTAAAGGAGACCTAATCAGTGGTTTCTGCCAATCTAAGACCAGCAAGAAGAATTTTATATCAATAAAGTAAAGGAATCAAATGTGTCACCAGAAACTCGTAAAACTGAAATGGCAGGGTATGGTGCCCAGAAGGGTATGGAAGTGACTGCAGCTCTCCACACTGAAGGGTGGGGTTTAGGGGTTCACCCTGGGAAGCAGGGAGCAGGGTTTCACCTCTAAGCCCTTGTAAAGACAAAGCATCTTTTTAGCACCTCAGACATAGCAAAAACAGAACAAGACGACTTTCTGATTTGTAATTTCTTGGGAACCAGGAGATAATTCATACCAGAGATATCAAACAAGGAAACATGGTTTTTCTAGCTTTCAAGAGGGGAGAGGAGGAAAGAGGCAGAGTCTGAATTCCCCACTTAGGACTGGCATATGGAAGTTTACAGTGCTGCCACACTCAGAATTGAGGTTCTGAGCTCCCAAACGGAGCATGTCCAGATCCTCATTCACACCAGGGGAGGGAGGATTAGATATGTTCTGAAAAGAGTGGGAAGCTCCTGTTACCTAGAGAGACACCATTCATGGCACAGCGTCTACTCAAGTTTGTTTAAAAATGCATTATTTTAGTGCAAAACCGGGAATCTGCATGCCCCACAATATAGACTCAGTTCCATTCGCGCCATCACATCATGGGGTTCTGGGCAGCTACCAAGTAACAGAGAAGGCTATTTTGAAGTAAGGAAAGGCAGTCACGATATATTATTAGAGGAAAACTAGCTGGTTTAAAAATAATCTTATTTTGTTAGTAGATGCACACTAGCATATGTATTTACACATATACACAGGTTCAGAGAGGAAAAGCAGACGATTACTAAATTGTTAAACATCTCTTGGTCACTTCTAGGGGCTTTGTGTCATTTGATGTTAACAATAACCCAAAGAAGCAGGGTATTATTTTCAACTTCAGAGATGAAGAAATAGGCACAGAGGTGAAGTGACTAGCTCAAGGTCACACAAATCCAAAGTGGCCAAGCGGGGATTAAACCCCTGCAGTTAGCTCCAGTGCCCACATTCTTAACCAGAAGCTGGTGTGTTGTTTGGGAGGACTTTTCCTTTCTGTGCACATCTGTATTTTCTACCATAAAGATGTATTTTTATCAGCAAAAAAGCCAACTTTGTTTTTAATGTGATAAAATACATTAAAGGGAAACCTATGCTTATTCTAGAAGCAAGAAAAAGGAAGACAAGGGCAGGAGTTGTGATTACCTCAATCTGGAAGATAACTTTCAGAAATGTTATCTAGACGCTGTGATATAACTGGAGTGTCAGTCTATAGATATCTAGGCACATTTTGTTCCAACTCCTCTCCCACTCATTTTCAGAATAAAAACTAGCAACATGTTTTCTTAGGCAAGGCCAGGGCTGAATAACAAGTGGGCGGCGGGGGCACTGTGATAGCTTTGTGGCTAGACTGACCTGGGTTCAAATCCTCTGCTCTTTGTCAGCTACTTTCCCTCGTGCAATTTGCTTAACCTTGCTGAACCTCAGATTCCACATCCATAAAAACAAGGACCCTGCCACCTACCATATGAGACTAACGTTTGTAAAAGCAACTGGCACGTTGTAGAGACACAATAAATGGTAGTTATAATATTATGAAACTTATGCCAACTTCTTAATTTGAAAAATACACACACACCTCCTTCAAATTGGCGGTCACCTCTTCACAGCTATATTCACTGAGAATGGCCTTTGGCAGGTACAAGCAGAGCTTCCTCTGGCCTGGTCTCTAAAGGCTCTATTAATATGAATAGCCCACCATGTGGCGACAAGAACCAGGAAGGGGGTAGCGGCTTAGAGGGGCTGGGTTGAGGGGAAAAGATTCAGTTCCAGATTGGTTTGGAGACGTTGACAACCCACCCTGTACAGAGAAAGTACAAGTCTAAAGCCAAATGAGGTGCATGGTTCAACAAACTCTGACTTACACCATCTGTAAGGGAGCTCTTCTTGCGCCAGTAAGAAGGGATAGAGGTTTAAGGGGAAAAAAACAACAAACAGAGGTAATGGTGGGAACAGTCAGGCAGATAAGATTAATTCTGCATCTAGTTCTAATCACTTAACTAGCAGTAATGGAGGAGAGTCCTGGTTTGTGGCCACCACAGACACTGTGCAATGTGACTTTGAGTAAGTATTTGCCCCCTCTGGGCTTCTGTTCAGTGAGGAGGTTGGGTTTAAATGTGCCTGAGTCCTCTTCTAGCCCATCAAGTGACAAGCAGGAGAGTTAATCCAGGGAGGCACCACTGTCAGTTTCATTAGACATTTTCAGCTCAAGCTTGTTAACTCCCACAGCAAGCTGTTAACTCCCCAAACACCCACCACCACCACTGCTACCACAAAACCCTTTCTCTTGGATGCAGATTTCAGGGTGGCATCAGCCAACTTTGCCAAGACTGCTCAAATCCTAGTTTTTAGAACTTGCAATATTTTCATGTCCCTTCTCTCCTACCCATACGCCCCAACTCAAAAGAGTTATGTTTAATACCCTATAAAGTCACTAGGAAAATGTTCAAGTGCCTTCTAGACAAACTCAACCTCATTTGAAAGACTAATCACATCAGTTTGAAGATACTGCTACAGAGTGGCAGTAAATGTGATAAAGCATGTTGAAGGAAGGAGGGAGGGAGGGAGGGAGGGAGGGAGGTGAGGGAAAGGGAAGAGAAGGCAGAA